CATCAGCCCGTCGATCACTTTGCTATTGATCGAGAAGAGGAAGAGTTCCTGAATAATGAACGTGCAAGCTCTCACGTGGGAATCCCACCTCAATACACCTATCGACGAACATCATCTGCCGATCTTTCATGGGAGCTAGACTACATGCGCAGACATAAAGAAGAAGCCGAGATGAGTGATCGTGCAATGGCTCGAACCAGAGGGTCACCATTCATATCACCGACTGATGTTACCTCGCTTGGATTCAGGAGGCCAGCGAGACACCATGATAATCGAGTTCGGGGTCGTGATCTTGAACCAACCAGGAGCAATGCTACCCCGCCGATGCTCGGAGAGGATCTTATCTTCCCCCAAAGCCTGTCTCCAGAGTCAACAGTATGCGAGGGTAGCAATATTCAACACAACGTCACACGCAATAGACTTTGTGTTTTTTCTGGACTTTGGTATGGAAGTCCTCATGCCAACAATAGGTCTAACAACGGCGGTCTTTGGGAAGGCACTTGCAAAACTTCAAGTCCGCAAGAAATACAATCACCGCGGTGTTCAATTGCAGACCCAACTGCACAGACATACACATCTTCCACCCTTCAGCCGACCGATGTAAATCGCCCAACGGAGAATAACCAGTTACTCCTGCCTACGCCCCACTATAAAATACAAGAAGACTTCCGTGATGAGTCTCTCGAAACGGAATTGCAAGACGGTTTGGTTACTCAGATATACAATTATCTTTCGCTTGGTTATCCCTGTGTTGCCCGATATTTTGACCACGAACTCAGCAGGATCTCTGGTATATCGGTGGCAGATTTGAGACAAGATGATCTGAACACAGATGCAAGGGGCCATGTCGGTGTTTCCGACAGTCCTTCGATAGGGGACGACATCTCAACACGTGCCTGCATGCGCTGGAAGGCTCTACAACTGTACATATTCGATTGGGCACGCGAGCGGCATCGTGTCGGATTTAAGGACATGGATGGAGAACATGGAGCATGGGGCGTATGTGAACGCAAAGGAAGTTGGGCTGTTTGAAGCAATGCAGCATCTTTATACTAGGGCCCGCTGACCCGGTACGCACGACACAGACCTGAGCCTTCCGCTTAGGTAACGGGACACGAACTGAGCTTAGGCTGATCTCCCGACTATGGTTGGTTGTGTGGCACCTTGTTCAGTTTGCGCCGCATTGAAGGGGTTCGTGACACGCATTTACTTAAAGCTTCATACACATGCAAAAGATGGGTAGAAGAAATTTTTTTTTATATTTTGAAGGTAGGGCCGGAGCTCTATTGGTGGTTCCCATGTAGCCTATCAGACCGTGCCTTGCATGAGCGAGGGCTTTGATGCGACACGTTCATGCAGAACTTATTTTCCGTCCGCGAATGGCCCCCGAACGTCTTTTTGGTTTGAAGTGGAAGTTTGTTGTCTGGAAAGCATGATTGCCGAGCCATGCGGTAGCGTAGAATGACCATTGTCGGCAACTTGCTTGTTGTTCTTCATTGGGCCGTGTCTATAAGGAGGTGTTAACATGCTACCATACTTTCGTTCGTTGAAAATATAATTTACCTTGTGCTGGACCAATGTCACTTTCAGTAAGTTTGACCGGAGGCACGAGGCTTGATCTAGGCGTTGCTTCATCGGCCAATCTGGCGCAATATCGATCGATTCTAGAAAGAGTCGGTGGAAATTCATGTATAGAAGATGGCGAGGAATGAGCCACAAGATTCAAACCTACAGTGCAAGTTCTCCAAGCAATGTTTCATGCCTAAATTGTTCCCGAATGTCAGGAACATTGCTCTTGGCGACATTGTTTCCCACGACCCCTGGCGCGTAGCAGTTGCTGCCGAGCCATCTCTTCTTCAAAGACAGTTCGAAACCACTTTGCTCGACGGAATTTTTCGCAAGCTCGCACATATCGACAGCACTGAATTTATATATCTGCGCGGCTACTGAGTATTCTTCGATCAGTGGTTCTTTGGTGAAAGCAAACTGCAAGGGGTCATCAGTAGACAAGGAGACATTGAGTCCCCTTTTGAAGAAATTGGCGCATGGATTCTTATCGTATGTGAGAAACAGTGCGTTGTTACTGAGAGGTGACATCGCGATCCCTATCTGATCAAGGTAGAAGAGATACTGAAGCAGAGGGACTTTCCTCAATAGTATTCCATGGCTAATACTATGGCAGCAGAGAAATCCGACAGCAAGATGATCCGGATCACCCGCTTCACCACAGTGTGGCCTTAACACGAATGTATTATAACCAAGCCGCTTGCGCCAAGTATTCAGAGACGCGATGTTGGCGAACATAAAGTAAATCCAGTAGCTGTATGGTGGATTCTGCTTCGTGTTCCACTCTCTCGGGATGGGATACTTTCGATATAGTCGTCGCTCGGCCTTACTTTCGTCATCGACACTATCGAATCCAACAACCCGCTGGAGGAAGATATGCAGTTTAGGGTGCGAAGCTGGGTCCTTGGTAACTTCGAATAGCGGCTTGAAGACATTCGTTATGACCTGCTCAAAATTTTGCATCATTCCACTTGATTTATAGACGTCGTAGAGACGAGGGACTTGTATTAGCCAGCGAACATTGGGGGAAAATAATTTGTTATCCACGACCCAAGCAGCGAGCTTGTCCCATTCTTCGATTGATCTCCCGTATATAGAGATGCGCCACTCCACCATCTGATACTTGCTTGATTCTAGATCGGAGATCACTTCTTTCGTTATTTCAGCTAAATAGCGTCCTTTGATGAAATTGTCCGTCTTCAAGAAGATTTCGCGTAAGCGAGATTCGCCCACAGGATTGTATTTGAGGTTGAATTTGTCGAACCGGTGGAATGAATCGGTATGTGCCTAATGGAGATGTTAGCGGTGGAGCAAAAATCATGGCAAAGTGAGTTTCCTACGTACGTGCATGTCCAGAGTGTCAATGCTGAGGTCATAAGCTGTGAGATTAATGCTTTCAAATACTTCCCTTAGTGTCAAATGCTTCCCGTCCCTGAACAATACAACCTCATCTGGGGACTTTTTCATCTTGCTCTTGATGAAACGAAGGAGATGCTTCTGATTCATGCATGCGGAGTGGTGCACATGTGTATCGACTTTTCGAACATTATAGAAATCCCTATGAGGCACTTTCTTGCTGTCGGCGATTTCTTGGTACTCATTTAGAAGTGTATACAGTTGAAACTTCCCTTCTAGGTAGGAGAGTCGTTTGAAAGCAAAGCTTTTCGCAGGTCCGTCCGTCGATATATCAGTGACTGCATCAAGGTCCATGTAGAAATCTCTTAAGGAAGGGATTTTGACCACTGGTCGTCGCGAATGCCGGGCAGAATCGCCCTCATAAACCTGATATACACTATTCTCGTCCAACTCGAAGACCCAGTCAGATTTTCCAGGAAGGGGCAGGCAGTCAGCCATATCAAAATCCTCGCCCACATCTTCACCCATCTTTCTTCTTTTGTGGTCAGCACGTGGCCGATCGTGAATCTTCCCAAGGTCCTTGTCATCATCCCAGGCCGGTTCTGGGGGTGGAGGGTAGATTTGCCAATCCGGGCCATCCTTTGGATTGTTTTCAGGCCCTTGCAACGATAGATGCATATATCTGGCCCTTCGATCAAGCAGGCTCTTGATTTTACGACAAATGACATCCAAATCTGAGGCTATCACATTGGCGCCTGGCGAAATATGCATGATGCCTTGGACTGCGCCGAGCCCATCTCCCGGATTTCCTAGACTGCTTGTTCCTGACAAGGTGTGCTGCTCGCTGAAAGACTGAAAAATAGAAGGTGCTTCGGAAGCTCTCTGCTTTTCTGAGTCCTCATTTTCTGGGCTACCGAAAGGTATTTCGGTAGTGTCTGTGTTTGAAGCTGTTTGCCGAACAATAGGCGATGGCTGTTTTGCTATCGCGGGAATCGTAGATTGCATGGCATCTCTGGGAATATTTGCCGTGTCAACAAGATCCCTTTGGGTCAGAGGAGTCGGTACACAGGTAGTAGTTGGTGCAGCTCCCTTGGAGAGTTGATCGCCGTCGCCAACGTTTCGAGTGGCGAGCTGATGGTGCTGGTAAAAAAGCTTGGCTTCAGTATGGCTCATGGACTTCTCGAAGGCGTAGTCATATGTTGGCGTCTTGAGTTGTATGTCCCTTGGAAGAACATCTTCGGGTGTTTGTGGTGCGGACTCTGTAAGGTCTGGATTATTTAACCCAGCATTGGCAGTAACATGGAGGGGAAAGCCAGAGCCTGTCCCAAGAACGTGAGACAAAGTCTCCTCGTTTGATGGACCTAGAGGTGCGTTGGCATTAGAAATGGGCCTGGCAGCTTTATCTGAACTTGGAGAAGTCATTCTCGATCTTGTAGCCCACTTTGTTGTTGTACACAGTTATGCTGCTACAATCTTATAGAACTGGCTGTAATCAAGTTGCCCGATTAGTGAAATACTCTCCAATTGGAATGGGCATCCAAGAACCAAAAATTTATAGCCAGCCCGAAAGTGCTCACCGCACCTGCTCAGTACGTAAATCAGTACCTAATTATTATTAAGCAGACACCCGTGGGATTAGCCGACAAGTAATCAGTAAGGTATGCCATTGTTATAGCTTTGGCACATACAAAGAAAACTACTCGGTATCAAGGCAGGTACTTGTAAACAGTGTCTTTGATACATATACTTGTTGTTGTTATTTTGCTATATGGTGTTTATCAGTCCAAGATTACCATGTAAGTGACCCTGTGAATAGGGAGCTCTTTTCTGATATACTGGTACAGAGGTTTCAACCAAAAGTCATATTTTAGTTCTAGACTGTACTTAGTATGACTTTAAAAGAAGACCCAATAAGAATAATAAATAAATAGTCTTATTCCTCCGCCTTTTCAATGTGCAACTTACCAATGGTGGTTAGTACCATCGTGGCGGGTGAGTGCGCACCGCCTCATTTAGGTTCTAAGTAGTCTAATAAAGGAGTAAGCTGTGACGTACTGCACCCACTTGCTGGTGGTTACCCCGTCTTCTGTACTAGCCCATGAAAACAATTAACACATATCCTCTAGGCAGAAACCCCAAACATCCGCAACACTAACATCAACAGTAAGTCAAGCCCTGCCTCATTTGCTCCTTCTATAAATAAAATAAGGAACAATCCCCTGAATCCCTTCTCCTACAAATCTGAACAATGACTTTCATCCAGTTCTGCCACTCAACCTCATCTAACAGCTTCACTCTAGTTTTCCTGTCACAATCTGTGCTCGTGCTCCAGATATTTGATCCCAGCAGATATGGCTACTCTTAACTTGTCCACCAACGGGCCTTCAATAGCAAAGAGCTACCAGGCCGTGGTCGACTCGGCTCTGCCCGGTTCGAACTCTCCTACTCACGGACAATGGGTTGTCTTCTCCGTTTCGACACCTCTTATCAATGCCTTCCAGCAAGACTCTGGCAATAAGGAAAGTGTCTTGAAGGTTCAAAATACCGGAGGTCTGTCAATTACCCCCTGGTCTTTCGAATTTAACTTCGTTAACCCTTGTTTTTAAAGCTGGCGAGCTGGTGGATCTGATTGAAGAGTTCTCTGAGGGCAAAATTCAGTTTGCTTTCGTAAAGATTCTCGATCCAAACTCGGGGCTCCCTAAGAATGTGCTTATTGCCTGGTGTGGGGAGGGCGTACCTGAGCGTACTAAGGGATATTTCACCAGTCATCTCGCCGCTGTTTCCAAATTCCTGCATGTCAGTTTGCGCTATGCCCGATATGCATACCCCGTGTCCCATTCTGATACATCATAGGGTTATCACGTGCAAATAACCGCTCGTTCTGATCAGGACCTGACCGCGGAGGGTATAATACAGAAAGTGGGGGATGCGTCCGGAGCGAAGTATACCCCTGGGCCAGATCGGCCTACATCTACTGCAAAGCCCCCGGTATCAACTAAACCTGTCTTTAACCCCACACGGACCGGTGGCACTGCTGCGAACAATCCAGCAGTTGTTGCATCACGAGTGGCTGCGACAATGAGTGGGGATGATGGCTGGGGTCCTGACGCGCCCCCAGTTACGAGGACTGGTCTTCAAAAAGTCCAGTCAGCTTACAGGCCCACCAAGGTGAACATTCAAGAGCTCAAAGCCGGTGGGCAGTCTGATTCTGGCTTCGCGGTTTCCCGAGACACCGAGGACCGTGACGAAATTGTCAAAGGGGGCTACAAGCCTATCGGGAAGGTCGACATTGCTGCCATAAGAAGACAAGCACGTGAAGCAGGCAATCTGGCTGACGATCGTCCTGAGCCTGTGAAAGGGGCATATCAGCCAGTTGGGAAGGTCGATATCGCTGCTATCCGGGCTAAAGCACAGGGTGGGATCACTGATCCAGTCAACGAGCCAACCTCTGTCGAGCCAAGGCCTTTACCGAAAATGACTGGGTCCTTTAAGCCGTCCAATGCATCTCCTGTTGCAAGCCAATATGAACGTCTGACAAGCTTACCAAAACCGAAAGTTGCAAAGAATATCGCTTCAAATGCCACATTCGTCGGAACGAAGCCCCCCTTGCCTACCCAAACATCTCAGGCTACGGCACCGTTAGTGGGCAGTGCGAGTCGTACATTTGCGGATGAAGGGGGAAAGACGCCCGCACAGCTCTGGTCAGAGCGCAAGGCTAGGGAACGTGGTTCAGCTTTTCACTCAACGCCATCCGACTCACCCGATGCGGAGATAAATACACCAATCCACACTGATGTTGAGTCACTGCAGGGCAACTCCTCCAAGCACCCGGTACATGTTGCCCAATCTCGCGATATACCACAATCTTCCGAACTTCCTCTACGTACAGAGAAATCAGATCCTGGCTTAGACACGCAGTCTGTACAGGAAAGCACAGATGTTGATCCTGGCCACATAAGTCACGACAAGTATGAGAGCTTGAAACATGAGAAGGAATTGGGTCCGGCGACTAGCCGCGCCATGCCTGTGCCAGAACTTCCGACAACTATACCGGCGACTGATTCAGAAGGATCTCATCAGCCTGAAGGCTTTGATTCGCTTCCTACGCCTCCCCAGCAGCCTCGGTCTCCTACTCCTCCTACACCTTCAATGACAGAGCGTGAACTTTCACCCATACGTGTGGCTGCTCCTGTTGGTAAGGGACTGACGGATGTTCAGAGTGAACAGCAGTCACCGCCTCCTGCACTACCTACTGAAAGCTTGCAGCAGGCGTTGCCAAAGGAAGATGACTTGGAAGATGACGCGCACGATATTGGGCGTGCAACAGCTGAAGCTACTGTAAATGAGGACGTTCAGCATACGTCTATCCAGGCGGTAGTGCTTTATGACTACGAGAAAGCAGAGGACAATGAGGTTGAACTTAAGGAAGGCGAGTTCGTGAGCAACGTCGAAATGGTCGACAAGGATTGGTGGCTGGGGTCCAATGTCCAAGGTGACAGAGGTCTGTTTCCCAGCAACTATGTAGAGATTGTCACAAACCCTTCGCAGAGCCACGATTTGGCGGATAGGCAAACTCCTCTGGTCGATGAAAGAGCTCCGTCCTTGTCCAATGTTGAAGCTGCACCATCTACCATCGCCCCTGAACCAGAACCTATTGCAGTCGCATTATACGACTATGAGGCCGCGGAGGACAATGAACTGAGCTTCCCTGAGGGCGCTGAGATAACACATATTGTAAGTCTGGGCACTCGTTTCTAGATCGCGCCGACCACTTTTCGCAGAATAATTTTCACCGAACTTGCGAATTTAATGTCTGGTTCGTCTATTGGGTGTTCATAGCTGACTTGAAGGTGTCTCCTCTAGGAGTTTCCGGATGATGACTGGTGGTTCGGCCACTATGATGGCAAAACGGGGCTATTTCCTGCTAACTATGTGCAACTTGGAAATTGATAGATGGCACCTCTTGTGTGTGCGCACTGACTCTCATCTGGCCCCAAGTAAAGATGCAGTGGCTGTCTGTATGTTTGTCGCCCTCCTCCCATATAAGATTAATCAGATATACCTGAAGAAGCACTTACATACAGCAACTGTTTATCTCTGCATCTGGGTAGATTCATTTCTTAATTTATATTCTTATTCTTGTACTTGCTCCTATTGTGGTTTGCATGGTCTGTATACTACCGATAGAGTACTAAATATTATAACACATATTTCAACTTCCTGAAATTACATTAACAGTATATAAGGAATATTTATCAGCCCTTTAATCTTATATTTGCTTGGTGATCCCTTCCATGTGTAAGCAATGAGGATTTGTACTGTTTTTTTTTATAAAAATGTGTATTATATTTAAATTAGGATTTTATTAAAAATTCACTAGTTATTTAATATTATATAAACTTTAAAATTTTATAATAAATAAAACTTTTAAATGTTTTTTATCTTCAATAATAGATTACTAAAATTATATCTACCAGACTAATATTAAATAATAAAATTATAATAATTAAAATACATATATTATTAAATATAATAATAATTTAGCTTCGGCTGTTTTATAAAAATTTAAAAGTTTTATTTAATATAAAAATTTTAATAATATATAATAGTCTTTTAAAATATTAATACTAATATTTATATAAATAAATAATAATAAAAAGCTTTTAATCTAGAATTAAATAAAAAGTTTTAATATTATTAAATTTTTTTAATTAGAAAATAATAAAATAATATATTTTATAATTATCTAGCTAAAATAATATTTTTATTATATTTTATTAAAAAATATTTATTTCTATGCGGATTTTTATTAAAAATTAAAATATCGAAATAAAAATATAGTTTTAAAAATTATGAAAAAAATTATTAGAATATTATTATTTTTTATTTAATTAATATTACTTTTTTAAAATTTTTTTTATTTGAAATATTTTTCCAAAAAAGTTAGTAATAATATAATTAAAAAATAATTTTTAAGAAGATATTAATAAAAATTATAAAACTATAAGAATATTTAAATTTTATAATATATAGTTAATATTGGTTATAAAAAATATTGAATATGTATTAAAATTTTATTAATATACTATATAAAAATGTAATATATTTTAAAAAATTTAATATAATTTTAATAAAAAATATATTTTAATAATTCAAAATAAAAATCTGTTTTTTATAAATATTCTAATACTCAAACAAATAAAAAATATAAAAATATAATTCTTTAAAAAAAATAAGAATATCATTTAAATAAGTAATATAAAAAATATCTGATCTTTTATGAAACATTAAATAAATATAATTTTAAAATATAACCAAAGTATTAGTTAATTTAAAACATATTATTAAAAATTTAAAATATTTATAATAAATTTAAAAAGCTGTTGTTTATTTATTTTTCTATTTAATATAAATTTAATAATATATATTTTAAATATCTAGTTTTAAAAAATATTTATTTTTTATAATTTTATTTCGAATTTTTAAAAATAAAAATAAAAAATAATAATTTTTAATAAAATTTTATTAAGTCTTTTCTAATCTATATATTATTAAAAGTCTTTATCTTTTTATTATAAAAAAATAAAGATTTTTATGGGATTTTTAAAAAACTAAACTTATTTTAATTAAATATTTCTATTAATATAATAATAAAGAGAACTCAATTTAAAATAAAAAATAAATAAATCTATATAATAAAAATTTATTATTTGTTAGATTAATAGTTTAGTCTGAGAATCTATAAAAAATATTAAAAATAACTAGAAAAAAATATATTTATAAAATTACAAAGTTTAAAAAATAATATAATTTTATTAAATTTAATTTATAAATAATTTAAAAAAACTTTATTTTTTAAAAACTAGATATTTTTTAAAAATTTAATTATAATATAAATATAAATAAGTTTTGAATAAATATTTATAAATTTATAAAATAAAACTTTTAATATTTAAATTTTTTATTACTATTATTAATTTTATATGAATAAATAAATATATAAATTTTTTAAAATAATTATTAAAAGAAAAATAAAGTTTTTTAGAAAATCTAAATTATAATTAATAATTATATAATTTTTGAAAATAATTATATATTTTTCTTAAATTAATAATAATAATAAAGATTCTTCATATACTATGAATATTTATAATAAAATAATTAATTATAATAATCAATAAGATCATAAGATACATTATATTTAAATAAAATTATTAAATAAATTAATTTTAGTATATAAATCTAAATTTATATAAAATTTAAAAATATTTCTAAAATAAATAAATATATTAAAATAAATAATAGTTTTTATTTTAGACTAGTTTATTAAAAATATTAAGATTTTTAACTATTATTATTTTTATTAGTTTTAGTTTAATTTTCTTATTTTTATAAAAATATTAGTTAGCTAAATAATATTCATTATTATATTTATAATAATAAAAAGTTTTTTATTTTAAAAAATTTTAATAAAAAAAACTTATTATTGAATTATAAAAATCTAGATTTTTAAAATTTTTATTTAAATAGTTTTTTTATATTTTAAATCTTATTTTTTTAATTTAATATATTCTAATAATAGATAATAATAAATACTATTTTTTTTTAAAATCTAATAGTTATAATATATATTTATAAATATATTAATTAAATTTTAATACTAGTTTTTAAAAAAATTAATATATATTTATTATCTTATTTAGCTTTAAAATAATATTTTAAAATATCTAAATAAAAATAAAACTTTTTTAGATTTTAATTATTTTATTAATAGATTTATTAAGCTGCTTTATAATATTAGATTATAAAATAATTATATTTTAAATAAAAAAAATTTATTAAACAAAATAATTCTATAATTTTTTATATTCTAGTGGTTTTTAGAAATTTTTTATTAATATAATAATACTATTTTTGCTGAAAAATAAAACCTAAATAACTAATTATAATTAGAATTTTTTGAATTTTTATATAATATTTTTAAGAAGTTTTTTTAAAAATATAATAAATTATATATCTACTTTATTTTCTATTATAAATTAAACTAAAAAAATAAGGATTTTTTAAATTTAATTTCTTTTTTTATCTTCAAAAAATAAAGTTAAACTAATATAATATTATCATAATTTTATTAAAAATTGAATATTTTTATATTCTATTTATAATATTTAAATCTATTTTTTTTAATTATTTTAACTATTTTAATTAACAAATAATAGTTTATATTTCTTAAATATCTATTTAGATTAAATAATATAATTTAGAAATAAAATATTTTAAAATAATTTTAATAAAAATTTATTACCTAATATATTACTTTTTTTAAGTTATTAAAAGTAAAAAAAATTAGAAATTATTAAAATTATTTAATATAGTAGATATACTGGTTAACCAAGATAAGTAAAATAGTTAAAAATAATTTTTTATTAATTTTAAAAATAATTTTTAAAAAATCTTTTTTAAACGATTTTAGAATAATATATTATATAAAAAATAAATAATATAATAATATAAATATCTAAATTAAAAATTTAATAAATCTATATTAACCCTGGAGTAGACTACTATAATAGTAAATATAAACTATTATAACAGTAGGTATTATATAATATTATAATATTATTTATAAAGATTTAATATAATATTATTAATTTTAATAATATAAAAAAACTTAAATGAATTAAAAAATATTTTAATATTATTTTTAATATATAGTTTTCAAAAAATTTTAAACTATTATATTACTACAGTATAATAACTATAAAAATATTAATACATATATTATAAAAATATCTAATATATTAAATAAGTTTTAATATAATTTTATTAATGATATCAAATTTAGTAATAATATTTATATTTAGTTTTTTTTTATAATTTTAATAGATAATAGTTAATTTTTTAATTTTTGATCTTAACTCTCAATATAAGAAAGAAAATATGATTTAAAACTAAATTATTTAGATCTTAATAATAAAAAAATATAAGTCTAGTTTAATTTTAATAATTCTAATTTTATAAAAATATTTAAATACTAAGAATTAAATAATTTCAAGTCTATAAACAAACAGAATAAAAATAATTAATTTAAAAATTATAATTTTAGGAAAGTTTTATAGAAAATTTATAAAAATTAGGTTTTTTATTATTATGAAAAACTTAAATATAAAAAGTCTAGCTACTAGAAACTATACTTAAAATTATAACTATTTAAAATTTTAAAAAATATTTATATAAATATTACTTAAAGTAAGCAGACTTTTATTTTATTAATATTTTTAATAATAAGATTTTATAAAAGATAAAAGTCTTTTAGTATTACTAATGATAATATTATTATAATCTATATTAAATATATAAATAATTAGATTATTGATTTTAAATTAACTAAATATTTTATTAAACATAAAAATAGTTTTATATATAAAATTATAAAATTATATAAATAAAAATTAAGACTGTTCTAAATAAGATTATATATTTAAATAATACTAATAATATAAAGTTAAAGTAAATATATAACTTTAAAAAATTTTAAATAATCAAATTAAATAATATAATTTAATTTTAAATATTAAGATTAATTTACTTAGTACTATATATCTTATAAAATTTAGTATTGTTATCTTTTTATATTGATAAAATAGTAATTACTAAAGCTAAAAACAAAAAAATTATTAATTAAAAAATATTATTGAAAATTAATATATTTTATATTTTACTCATAAAACTATTAATATAAAAGTTACTATTAATAATATTACTAACCTTTTTGTTTAACAAATTATAATGAAATATATTATCAGATCTTTACTTAATTTATTATTGATTAAACACAATAATCAAATTATAAAATATTATTTTTATAATATTAGTACATAGTACTAGAAATGTATTTTTAATATGAATAAAATCTATATTAATTTATTTATTGAATATTAGTATTTTACTTATTATTTTCTTACTAATTATATCAGACTATTAAAAATAATAAATAATGTAAATATAAAAAATCTTACTATTCCAAAATATATATACCGAATATATTAGTTAGCTAATATTTTAATTTATTAAAACTATATATAAATAATTTTTTATAATAATATAGTTAGTATATATTTTTTAATATTAATAATATTTATATTAATATATTTTTAAGTAAGTAGTCTAATACTTACTTAATATCAAATATTCTTTATTAATATAGTTAATAGTGAAATC